ATAACAACAATAATCAATATCATCATGGCGGGCGGCAGCGGCAGCAGCGGCAGGATTGGCCTGGGGCCGGTCCAAAGGCCTCGGAGGGCCGCATCCAGCCCCCCGGGTCTTAGGTTGCCTACTCTTATTTTGGGGGGTACCCCTATTTTAAGGGTATCCCCCCCTATTTTCTGTATGACCACCGTCCCCACAAAAACAGAAAGGGTGCAGAGATCTCCAGAGAAAGGCGAAGGGTGGCGGGGAAATTTGTAACTGTAAATGCTCGAATTACAAATTTCGTCGTGGGGGCAAAAAAAGAACGAAACTGAGCAAAACCGAGAAAAGGAAAACATATAGTACCACCTCTGCCACCGTTTCTCCGCACCTACCCACCCCTGGCTCCCATTCTCATTTTTCAAAGATGAATGTGGAAATCCATGTCACGCAAGCCACATTTTTTTTTTCCATTTTGGAAAGCAAAGCCTGGCTTTCCAAACGTGATATTTGGAGTTTTCAGTTCTTTTTTTCCTGACTTATCCGACAGAGAGGGGGTTTGGCTCTCCGTGGCTCACATCCCAATAAAATTGTTAAAGGTGCCGCAACACTCTGAAAAGTCTGCCGCAGCAGGGAAACCAACACAAATAACAACCCCATTGCAAGGTCTTATGGAATTAAATGTTTTCTCTTCAGGTTTTAAAGAGAGAGAGAGAGAGAAAATGTCAGAATAAATGTTCCCTATATGACAGCAAAACAAAGGAAAAGTAGGGGAAGATGGAGCCAGTGTGGTGTAGTGGTTGGAGTATTGGACCAGGACTCTAGAGACCAAGGTTCAAATCCTGGCTCGGCCATGGAAAACCACTGGGTGACCTTGCACAAGTCACACACTCTCAGCCTCAGGGGATGACAATCGCAAACCCCTTCTGATGAAACTCAACAAGAAACCCCCATGAAAGGGTCACCCAAGCGACTTGAAGGCAAACAACACACAGAGAGAGGAGAAGATGCTTTGGAAAATTCAAAGATTTCTTCAAATCTTGATGAGCCGCAAGGAAACCTTTGTGATTTGGGTGCTCATCTGTAAGAACATAACTTTGGTTGTACTTATGCTTCCATCAAGTAATAGAATTGTAGGATTTTATCATTGGAAGGGACCTCAAGGGTCATCTAGTTCAACCCCCTGCCAGATACACACACTTAAAGCACTCCGGAAAGACGCCCATCCAATCTCAGTTTAAAAACCTCGAAAACTGGAGAACCCACTACTCTCTCAGACAATCTATTCCACCATTGGACAGCTCTTACAGTAAAAATAAATAAAAAAAAATCTTCCTAATATTTAGATGGAATCTCGTTTCTTGTAATGTAAACCCATGGGTCCATTTTCTAGTCTCTGGAGCAGGTTAGTTGTCAAAATTGTTGTACGCCTTCAAGTCGCTTCTGATTTAGGGCAACCCTAAACCGAACCTATCATGCAGTTTTCTTGGCAAGATTTGTTCAGAGAGGGCTCACCATTGCTTTCCTCTGAGGCTGAGAGAGTGTGACTGGCAAAGATCACCTAATAGGTTTCCATTGGCTGAACAGGGATTCAAACCCTGATCTCCAGACTTGTAGTCCAATGATCAAATCATGTTGGCTCTCATAGATCCGGTACTATCTAACCACAATCTAAAATGCCTTATTACACCACTTGCGGACACGACAATGAACGTTTTGAATGTCGACACTTGCTTCCCAAACCATTTAAATGTTCTGGAAAAGCTGCTGGCGTAATATAATAACCTACTTGCAATATTTTGCATCACCAATGCCTAGACCGGCTCTTCTTCTCCGCCACTTGCCATCATTGCTACCGACTTTCCAGACAAGCCAAGACTTATAGGAGGCAGATGGCCAAGATATTTTCTCTCCCGGCACATTAAAGATACTTTACAACAACCCTATAGAGTAGGCGAGGACTAAACCGTGAACTAAGGCTTAGTAAGTCATGGATCGCCAAAACCCAACCAACGAGTTTGTAGCAAAGTTATTTAAACCTGAGACTTTCCAGCTTGTGGTCTCCATTCACAACCATTACACAACACAACTTCTCTCTTTATATGCAACGAGTTTGATCAAGCCCCATGGGACTCTGTCTGATCGAAACCTGATTGTTGGTTTTATTTGTTGTGGTTTTTAATTGTGTTTTGTATTTTTAACATGTTGTACCCTGCTTCAAGCCTTGAGGAGAGGGAGGAAATAAATTTATTATTATTATTATTATTATTACCATCACCACCACCTTTCTGCCTCTGTGTGGGTGTCTATATCCCCTGTCAAAGTATAAGATGCCTATGTTCAGTCTTTTTACACACACATATACACACACACCAATTTTCTTCCCTGACACAACCTAGGAGGAAACACAACACCCATCTTTACGAAACGCCTGCAAACATCAATTAGCTGTCAGCGTGGGTTGTGTACCATTTTAAGTTTCAACTCCTCACACAGACACACACAAGTTGTGTAGGAAGGTGGGAGTGTTCATACCAACAGCCCTTTCCAACCCAAGCTGACCAGATGTCCTCCTTTCCCAGGACATGTCCTCCACACATTTCAACCTACTGTCCAGGAGGGATTCCCAAAAGTCCTCCATCCTGAGCAGGATGAAGACACATGAATTGATATTTCTAGGAGGGTTTGTAGCTGTTCTTTTGGAATGCCCTCCATTCTTCTGCAATGTCCTACATGTTGCACTGCCTGGTCTTCCTTTGCAGTGAGGACATCTGGTCACTCTGTTTCTTACCAAATGAGACAGAAGGAGTTTTCTAGTTGTACACAAGATCACAACAGTTGTACACAGATATTGGAAAGCCAGGGTGGCATAGTGGTTTGAGTGTTTAGTTACGACTCTGGAGACCA